CAATGGATTGACCTACACAGGAGATACAGACTGCATGCTTCTGTTTTTATTTACCTTATATTTACCGTAAGCAAACAAATGTTTACTCTTTGTGCCTATCCAGAGCTTTAGGAATAACCAGCTGAAACACTGCAACCTCTTGGGTGCAAATGCTGTTGCACTGTCTCAAAAAAAAAAAACCAACAGGAGCAGATTAGGGAGTAGCTTATTGATGGCGATTAATCAGCTCGTTAAGGCTGATTGCTGCTTGGGTGGATGACTCGCGAGAGACTGTCTCCCCTCTCAGCCTAGAAGCACCCTTCCAACCATGAGTACAGCTGATAAGGGTGAGGATTATCTATGTAAATAAGCAGAGAGTGAAAACTAAGCCACTGTTAGGGACCATGTTCCGATTGTGTCCTCGGGTGGAGCACTTTGGCATGTGTTTTGTAGGAAAATGCAGGTGCATCACAGAGGGCTTGTGGTTGGATGGGGAGTAGCCTAAATAACTGTCGATAAAAATGGGCAGTAATGACTGGATTGAGATTGGAGTGTAGTGGAGAGTAACGTTCACTCCTGAAATGTAGGATGGAGTTTGGTGGTTTTGTACTCGTTTCCGTTTATTGTTTACAACATAAATGAAATAATGAATTTGAGTCACTGGTTTCACACTGAATTAACGCCATTTAAAGCAAATAACAACTCATTTTGTAAACATAATTTCAGAGAGAAATCACGCCTGTTTGGACCATTTGCATAATACATGCATATTCTTTGCTTTTCGTGCTTGCAAATTCATTCCAATCATACAGCATCAACTAATAGCTGATAGAAATCTCAAAGACAAGTGATGTTATGTAAATGTAATGCATTGTAATGGAATATGGGCCGAGGGTACAGAGATAAATGGAAACACGTAATGCATCATCCTGGCCTCGATGCCGATAATGCTAAAAGGTGACGTTCAGGAAACAAGCTGTTCTAAGAGGAGCATCTGCACCCAGTATTGTATGCAAAAATATTTGGTATATGAGAGATAAAGCCGAGACTGGCTGTCACATAGTGAGCCGTTTAATATGTGACATTAATCACACAAGCTCAGCGGAGGCTGTGGATGCATCACTCGCGAGCAAATGCCTTGATGGATGAAAGAGCCGAGAGGTATGTCGCCATGCCGATGAAACGCTGGAGTGAGCTGCATTCTGATGGCCAGCTGGGGGGACTGCGTTTTACTAGAAAACTCTTAAGGACACAGATCGCTGTTTGGCCCTGTTGTTTCCTTCCTTTCGTCAGCCGGAGAGGCAGGGGGAGAGTGCCTGGCACACTGTAGTGTGCAGTAATGGCAGCGTTTTAATTAGAGAGTGAGGTAATGAATCAGGCCGGGCCGGAGCGGGCGGGGGAGGGATGGGGGTGTTGGGATGACGCAGAGCTGCAGCCTCGCAGCACTTGCTCCTTTTGCAGCTCCACGTCACGTCCCCACGCCACCACATTAATCATATGGCAGCAAGAATAAAGTGGAGCATCCGTAATACTTACAAATGGCGAGTGGGTACGATGCTGAAGGACGCACGGAGGTCATAGCACCACAGCATTATAAAGGGTGCCATGTACTAAACGGGGGGCGATAAAGGAGGGAAGGCATTTCCTTCATTCCCACTGATACGCGCACACACACACACACAAACATGTCCGAGTGTGTTCTTCCATTTAGCCCTGCGCGCATTAACAGTTATAAATGGGATGGCAAAAAGACAAGGACAGAAAGAGGACGAAGTGTCTAAAAATGGAGCCGAGCAAAGAAAATGGCTGCTCTCTCACTAAACAGACGCTGCCTCTTCCCCCCACCACGTCTATATTCTCAGTGCCAGATGTATGTATGTGAGAAGGTGCCTTGCCACAGCTGCAATATGCGATCGCAGCACATCTAAAATGAACTTTTAGTTTACTAAGGCTGTAGCTAATCACGCAGATTGCACATGGGACCACCTACTGACTGCTCTATGTTAATTAAGCACATGGTTTAAAAGGCTCCATAAAGTTTTGGAGACTGCAAGCCCAGGACAAAAGAGAAAATGCAGGCTTATTCACGAAGAGAGAGTGGTATTAATACTGGAATTAATGTTCTTTCTCACTAAAACATTCTACTTCTGCGTAAACAATAAATGAAACAATTTGTAAAACAATAACACAAATTAAACACCACTGGTCCAACGAAAAAGTCAGCCTGAAAAATACATAAACATGCCAAAACGTATACCTTATTTTCTGAGAGGATGAGAGAGAGGATATTCATTTTTCTCCATTCAAATGGAAAAGGCTACCTGCCAAACTAACAAATCGCTCCTCTACTAACCAATTAACGTCAAGTACGTGGATAAGCAGCCCACATAGGTGGGGGTGACAGGATGTAGGCATGTCATGCAAAGTTCTATAGTGCATTGCCATGTGAAACCAAAACTGGATAAAATTTATACAATGTAACACAAACATGAACCTTGGTTCAGACCTTGGTCCGGACTTTCAGGTGTGAAAACGCCCTTAAAATAGCCATTGCAGTTGTATTTGATGCCTCGCTGATCCTCCATCTTTTGGATCCCAAAGGAATCCAAGCGCTGTGTGAAATTAAGGGGCATCAAGAGAGGAGAAAATAAATAAAACAGCTACATGGACCACGATAACTGCAGGCTTGTGAAGAAGAATAAATAGTTGCACAAGCAACCGTATAAACAGCTGTTACCGTTAGTTAGCTAGTTAAGGCAGCTGGTTACAAAACATTATTTTTGAGAAACGCATTTATTACGGCTCAGGTAATGGACAAAATGAAAAACTACCAATGCTGCATCAAGTTAATTAGGTGATCTAAAATAAAAATCATCTGTTTTTTCTTGTCCATTAATTTGGTGAAATGTTGTCTGATATGGTCACATGATCTGCTGTTTCATAAAACGTGTTTCACAAAGTAGAGATGGTCGCAAATGTTGTGGCAGTTTCAAATGAGTTGCAGAACATTTTATATTATGCAACTCGGTGAAAATTTATTTTCATGTAAATTTCACCATGTAAAGCCAGCCTAAGAGTTCTGAGAGTTGAAATTCTGATGTCACTCGGTTGGGTAAAATTCTTTCAGCACTCTTTCAAATGTTCATGTGTTTGAGAGATGGAGATTGGCTTCTCATGTGGCCCTCAGTGCTGAACATTTGCACCCTAATTCTGAGACCAGGCATTCCATAAAAAAAGCGCTGCTTTAGGTTTCTGCTTTTGCGAGTTTGATTATGCTGAAATATTGATGCACAATTCGATGTAATTAATCTTGGTGCTTGCTTTGATTCTGCATTCATTAACACAGAGAGTAGAATTTGCTCAGTCTTGAATAAACATGGGGAAAGGCATTGAGGTCATTCCATTAACTCACCTGAATGACCGTAACCTCTGTCTGCACCTTGTGCTCTCTCAGAGCTGCTATGTCAATAATTAATTCCCATAAACTCATGTAATCCGAATAAAGCCTTGCAGTATGGTAGATATGGCCCACAGATCAGCCCAACAGGATTGAGTGAGTCAATAAAAGGGCACAAAGGGCTGCTCTTTCTATTGTATTTAAGGCTAACAGGAACAGGTTAGTGCACAGAAAATGCCCATTCGGACCCCTAACAGATGGTGGTGTTTAACAAACATTCAGAGGAGAGAGAAAGGGGTTAGTTGTCTATTGAAGGTACTGAGCGCAGGGTGCAGGCAGAGGTTGCGGTCGTTCAAGTGAGTTAATGGAATGACCTCTGGGCTTTTACCCATGTTTATTCAAGACTGATCAGATTCTACACTCTTCTGTTAATAATGCAGATTCAAAGCAAGCACCAAGATTAATTACCCCCCTCCCCACACACACACACACACACACACACACACATTATGATGTAGGCCTTCAGCAGGGAAAGTCATGCCAATAAACTTCACACAGGTGTTATTAATTATTAATACCAACATCTGATTAGTTGCTGTTAGGTGCTTTCAATTATTAATACTAAAATCTGATTTGCCACAAAATATTATAAAGGACTAAATGAAATTTTCTTGGGACCATTCCAGAAGCTAAAAGCCTTGGGTTGAAAAGCCTTCAAATGTTACACGGTATTATTAATATTAACATCTGATGAGTCACACGACTCAAGCTTAGTCATCACATTAGTGTCCAATTACAAAGTTTTAGTGTGTGTTGGGAGCATCCTAACCAGACCAGGGCAGTAACAGAAAAACAGAATACAGAAAAAAGTAACAATATTCTTTTACAGTTACCAAAAAATATATAATAACAATATTGTGATTATTAGCAGAATTACATTAAAACCACTCTTGCACACCAAAAACATTTTCAGATGGTGAAAAATACACTTCTCACTCTTTTCAATTTTTGCAAACTTTGGCAGGCCACATGAATTCAATCACTGTTGTCTGTGGTTGGTAGCAACCGTTACTGCTCTTAGCAACTTGTAACAGATGTCAAAAGCACTAGTCTGTCTACTGCTTAGTCGCATATGATGCGTTCAGTTTGTCTCAGCTATAATAATATGACACTTTGTTTCATAAAATAGCCTGTTTTTCTGTTTGTCTTGTGTAAAGACATTGAAATTTAGTTGAACTTTGCATTAAATCAGATAAGTAATTCAAACTTAACTGCAATTAATCAGTTTACATTATTTTAATATAGTATTTATTTGATTTAGGTTACAGCTTACATCTCAACAGGTACTCAGCAATCTGTCCTGGAAAACATTTTTAAACTTTCCAACCTTGATCCTAACTGTACACACCATTCTGTGGGTGTTTTAATGAATGAAGACATTAAGTAATCTGACAAATGTTTTTTTTTCCTGCAATAAAGCAGGTTAATCTTTTCTCTTGCCAAATTAAGGATTCACTAATGCATTCTTAATATATTGCAAGGAATCGCAGTCATGAATAGAAATATAATTACAAGACAGTATTTTTTCCATATTTATCTGTACCCCTGGCTGTATGTGTTGCAGGAGGACGAGGCAGGAGAAGGCCGTTTCAGCTTTGCTGCGTACGGCATGGGCCCAGCGTGTCTGCAGGCCAAGGACGGCATGGCCATCAAGGGCAACAACAACAACGCCCCCACCTCCAGCATCCCGCCTGAGAAGAGCGTGGAGGAGATGCGTAAGCTGTTCATCAGCCGCGCCAAGCGCATCGACACCGTGTCCCGCGTGGCCTTCCCCCTCGTCTTCCTCATTTTTAACATTTTCTACTGGATCATTTACAAAATCATTCGCAGCGAGGATATTCACAAGCAGTAAAAACAAAGTCCTGACCGAAAAAGCCGCCGCTGTCGCCAACCACCACCCACCCCCTGCCCTCCTTTGCGCCCACTTCCTTTCCTCAACACTCACTTGCTTTTGGTGGCAAGTCCTTGGCAGAGGTATTTACTGATATTCATTTTCTTTTTTTTCTTTCGGCCCTCGTTCTCCTGAATAATCCGGACCTGTGCAATAGCAATGCAGTAAAATGCATGATATATGAATGTGGCAATATATTTACTAAAAAAGAAAAAAAAAATCAAAATGACTACTTAATAAGTATTAGACTTTTACAGACACATCTGGACTTCTGTGCAGAAGGATGAAATCTAAGGGGGGGGTTTGCTCTAGTGAGACTTTTTTCCAACTTGAAGACATACTGCAGCATTACTAGAATATGAAGGAGAGACATGCAGCACTGTAATATATCATATATTTAAAACAAAACTGAAATTTCTTCAAGAGAGGTTACTGGAAATGGAAAGATTACAGATTATGACACAGTTCGGTGCTTCCATAAATAAGTAATGCAAGGGCCACTGATGAATATATAGATGAATGGTGATGTCATGATGAATTCCTGTCATGATGTCAAACTAGTGATGGAAGCTTGATGAATGCCAGTCAAGAAATATTGTTTGTAACAAGCTGTGGTCAATGTGTTCCTCTATCTGTCCTTTAGACATTTTGTTTTGTTTGTTTTGTCTGATTATATGTCATTTACTCATGTGCCAAGTGAACAGCATATTGCTGTAACATTTTTCGTCAGCTTTTGGGGTCAAAAAATTTACCTGCACCCCTTCATTGCTTTATTATACATGGGCTTATTCTGGAAATGCTCTTTACTGAACAGGAGAGACACATTTAAAAGACATAAGACATATCTTCACTCTCAGCTCTGTTGGTCTGCATTTACTTTTCACAGTGTATTTGACAACAACCAGAAAAAAGACATGAAGACTTGAAATGGGGAAAGAAAGAAAAAAAAAAAAGTCATTGCCTACCCCTCATAAGTTTCACGTTTAATGACTCAACCTCAGAAAAGTGTTATTTTTATAAGCAGCCAGTGCCATCATACACCTAAAAGTATATTTAACAGAAAAATATATTTAACAACCAAATGTGTATTACTATGTCTTTTAACTATAAAACAAGCTATGTATTGTGCAGCAGAGTAAATTATTTGCAATGTATTTAAACACTGATTTTGTTTACAACATGCTTTGATGGAATACATCCTCATTTGGCTTCTCTATGCAAGAACAATATATGCAATTATTTTCATTTGTTACCATTCAAGAAGTAAATATGATTAGTACTTTTTACAAGTGGCCAATTCCACATCACATTGCCATGTTTTATATGTATTTATTTATAAATCTATATATTTATTTATTTGGCTCAACAAAGCACTCCAGACTTTAAAAAACCCAACTATGCATGGCAAGGCTAGCTTCTTTATGTGGTGCGCATTATCCTTTGGCAATTTTTCACTTTTCTAATGTTTTGCTTTGAATTCCTGAGACATGCACAAGCATAAGGAGCAAGAGGCTGTGTGTGAATGATGATGTATTACCATTCCTGAGATTTGTGCAGTGTTACATTTCTTGCCAAATTCTGTTTATCCACTTTTGTTTTGTTTTCAGAGCCAAAGAGTAATCGTGTTAAAAGTATTGCCATTGCCTTTCAGGTTTGGAAATAAATAACCTGATGTAAGAGCTTCATCTGTTAATGATAAATATGCAGATATTTTTTATCTCTACATTTTTGATTTGTGTCAGTATGTTGTTCATGTGTTACTGTCCTTATTTGTTTAGAAAATCGATATAACTAACACCCAGGTTGTAACATTTTCACATTTTCAAATCACTTCTGTATAACAAGCATATGCTTATATTTTTCAGTGTTATAGTGTAGATAAATATGGAATGGAAGTAAGAAGATTAAGGGATTGAGCAACATTTTATTTAAAGGCTACCTACATGACATAAAATCTGCATAAGCAGTAAATGACATTTAAACACCAATACTTCAGTATTTATAAAAAGCTGTTTAGTGATTAATAATCACTGATGAATTATGGTATTTTGGCCATGAGATATCCTGGTTAGTGTGTTATGCTGGAATGACTTGGGTTCGTTGACACATTTGCTCATGTTTTATGCTTTAGGTTTATCGGTAGAACAGCTATAAACAAAATGCATTTCCCTGAAATAGGCTTGTGCTAAATTTGAAGGGCTATTTTAAATTTTTGGGACAGGCACTGCTCAGATTAATTCACTTTTTTAAGCATTAAAAATCAGTTCATCCATTGTAAATGAATGTGTACTGCTTTAAAAATGGGGTCATGAAACTGCAGTCCTGGTGGGCTACAGAACGCACAGTTTAGTATTTACCCATTTCCAAACAGGCAAGTTAGCTTATAAAAGGTTTAATAATTAGACTTTGAGTTAAATTTGGTTTGCTGGGACAGAAAAAAACCTAAACTGGGCGGTTCTATGCCCCAAGAACTGCAGAAAAAAACTATTCCAAATAGAGTTTCTTTTCACATTATAGTGCTGTTTGTAATCATATAACACGGAACATGCTTCATTACCACCTGTTTGTTCTTGATATACCTTTTATTGCTTTATTAAGTACTGCAACAACCTGTTTATTACAGTGATCAGCGATTCATGCTTAACCCCAACATTGGCAGCTGGAATACTAGTCAAGTGATGTAGGTTTTGATCTTGACTCAACCTCAATTATCTTACAGATGAAGGTCATTTCCCTTCATTCATCAAAGTGTTCACGCTCTCATCCACATCAATGAAGGGATCCATTCGAACAGATAGAGGCACGCGATGTATATTGTACATTTGAAATTTGCAATATTGCTTTATACATTTTATGATCATTTTTGTCAGCTGTAAAGCAAATCTGAAAGTGAACAACTTTAACATGTCAAGATTTGCAAAACTGATGCTCAGTTCAGTGTTGCTGTTTCACAAATTCCCTCAATGATAAACGCTGCTTAGAGCCACCTAACGTAACCATGCTGCTGTATTGTCCTTTATGTGTATGGCCACAGCCGGAGCCCCCACCGTCCCTCACCGCTAGCTACAGTTTTAGAGACTGGAGGAACCTGGAGCAGTTCACAGAAAAACTAATACTGACCTGAGAAGAGGACAGTGCAATGTGCAACATCCGATAACGTGCAACAGTGAACCCTTATGAGGCGAAACGATCATGCGAATATCAATTAAATGTTTGCATCGGTTCCTGATATGTTAAATTTATGAGGCATGATATTGGTTTTGTTTACTTCTGTATGATTTTATATTTTCTGATGTCACCTTCTTTGCCATTTTACTGTCAACTATCCAAGAAACGATTCACTGAGAGTGACTATGGGCATGGCCGTTTCACTTGACCTCTGTACACAAAACTGTGGAGAAGGATTTGTTTTTTGCACAAGCTGGTATGGCCTTAATTTTTTTGGGTTTACTTGCTTATATTGTGTATTTGGCACTAAGTGCACCTCTTCATTTGCTAATTCTCATAACCCAAGAGTGCACTTCCAGGCAGTGAAAATTTCAGCAAATCCTTTCTTTTTTTTAATTTCTAAATCTGAAACATGGAATATTTTGCATGAATATTAAATTACAATGGCAGATATTTTTGGCTTGTACAGAAATGTGAGCAATTTGAAGAAAAAAAAAGGAATGTACAATTTCTGCTGTATCTGTATATAATTAAATATTTATTGAATTATGTCATTATGCTAAAGCTAATTCTACTATTAAAGGTTTTCTGAACAAAATCTCCAAACTGTTTTTGAGAACTGTTAAGGTTGTGGGAGTTGGACAGTTGTTTTTTGTCACTGAACTCGAGGGTCTTTGTAATCATAAAAGATTAAAAAGCGTCCAACCCAAATAGCAGAGAAAGACTGAGGAAACGAGGCTCTCTGGTGTTTTTGAGTGCATTTGCCATTAACATAATTTACAGTACTATGCAAAAATATTTCTTCCTTTCATTTATTTGATTTCCAGTCAAAATGGCCATTAAGTACAAGTTCTTCATTTTTCAGCATCAGCAAGAAAACATATTTAACAGAAAAATGCACAGAAGCCTCAACAACTACACATAATATCCACCCTTTGCCTTTATTACAGCTTCCATTCAGAGAAATCTGCAGGGATATTTTTTCACACCTCCAAAGTTCAGTCTTAGAAGTTGCATTTTCTGCTTCTCATGATCCAACTAATCCCAAACACACTCATTGGTGTTGAGGTCTGGACTCTGGGGTGGTCAGTGCATTGTTCTGAGAACATCACCAGCTTCTTTGTTTGATAAGTACATCTTGATCTCAGCAGTGTGTCTGGGGTCATTATGCTTTTCTCTCAAAGTACTGTTTATCTGACAGTTGTGGTTCACCAGGTTATGCACAGTTGTTAGGAGTCTCATTTTCTCTATATCTTTTAATAATTTTTAAACTACAGTTTTCCGAAGTCCTGTTTTTTCACTTATTTCCCTTTGACTTTCTCCTTCTTTATGCAAGTGGATTATCTTATATGCAGTCTCCTCAGAAATATCTCCTTTAGCCACTTTGAGCCACGTGAGAAAGAAATCTGCGAGGCAGCTAACGTGTTTGGGTAATTACTTGCATGAATGTTAGTATCTCTTTGAAGGGGAACATACAGCCAGTGACACCTTTGAAAACAGCTTTTGTGTTAGTTTTAGGACTGAAAGGATTTAAGAGTTAAAGTGGCACAAAAGACAGATTTAATGTTAGACTTAGTCTTGTAGGCTTTTGTGTAATTTTCTGTTAAATGTGTGTTTCCTGCCTTTTTTCCTGATGCGGTTTAATAATTTCATAATTTGTAATTAATGGCCATTTTAACTGGATATTGAATACATGAAATGGTGGGCTCTGGCTTTTGCAAAGTACTGTGTGTTATGATTTTTTGCCACTGTCCTTTTTCAAACTTTCTGTTGCTAAAAGAAATCTTGATTCTTCGGTAAAATGAACATGTTCACCTGCAGGAAAACAAAGCACATGAAAATGTTAAATATTTTCTAGAATAAACCAACCATACGCATTTCCTTTTCTGCCATTTCATTAAAACCGAGCACTCCTACAATCTTGTTTTTGCTGTGGGGTACAGGAGCACAGAACGTACATATTTTGGTCACACAGTCATAATTTTTGAGCAGAGTGCCTCAGGCTCCACACAGGCAGCGAGGACGACTTTCTCTCGGCTTATTAGGCCGCTGTGTCTTCCTCCATTTTCAGCATTTGGCCTTGTGATCTTGCCAGCCTCTAACTGACCGCCCAATATTTCCTGCTCCTTTTTTTATTGAAACCACTTTACTGTTCAATGTGATGTAAAGCATTTAAAGCATTTATATATATATATATATTCAGGTTTGCTCATAAATATTGCTTAATCATAGAAACCTACTACAAGCTTACTGATAGTAATAATATATACCAGAATGTGTTTAAATGAATCTTAAAGTAAATACTAAATGGGATTACAATAGAATTTAATGCGGTTTGCAGTTAAAAAGCATTAATGCATTATTATTTCTTCGGTTAAAATGTTCACAATCACATAAAAAGGTCAGTTAAGGAGCTGCCTCTAATGGAACATCCCTTTTTTAACCAAATTTGATTGACGCACAGTTTGACTAAATGTAAAAATCACCTGCTTTGTCTCGTGGCTCTCCTTGCCATTGCTTTCAAATTATGCAAGTGGATTATAACCCACAAAGGATTCGCTCAATCAATTTCTCTTCCCTTGCTTGAGTAGCGTGGACGAGACCACCCTCCCCCCATTCCTCCAGACCACCCGGTCCCTCTGACCGCACTGCACTCCGCTACACTGCCACTAGAATTACATTACAGCTGACATCCAAAATCACCCCAGGGCCCGGAGCCACTGAAACATGAAGGCTGGGACAGAAATTTGTTTCTCTGTGTATGAAATATGAATATTTGCCATCCTCGCTCAGGCACAGCTGCATTTTCTTCCTGTACAGCACTTCATTATCAGTCGAGAACAAAAACTGATGGCTTTTAGGAGGCAGCATTTAGTCAAGCTGTCAAATTTGGATGAAAATAAATGAAGGGCATTCGATTAGGTACAGCTCCCTAATTGACTTTCCTTGGTTTCTGTGATAATTTGTGATTTGTAAACTTCCATATTAAGGGAATACTCCAGCGTTTTTCAACCTAATCTCCATCTTCAGCATTTGTACCACAAGGCTGATTACCATCGACAATCATTTCTGTGCGTTTTTTGTACATCAAAAAGAACGAAAAGCCCACTTACTTGAAACACACTTATAACAGAAGCCAATGGGGAGTGACTGAATTTGGTAAAAGGAAATGCAAAAAAACAATCACATTCATGAATTCTTCCGTCAAAGTTATGTTGTAAATATGTTGTAAATATGTATCATTTGTTTATTCGGAGATGGTACTAATACTACTCATCATGCAAAGATACCAGCTTTACTGTGTTGCTTCATTGTTTGAAAGTTTCACTAGAATAAAACAATCATGTCATCCTAAAACCTGTACTGGTAGATTGTAATGGTTGTAGTTTCAATTTTGCATTACATAGAAATGGAGACTCGAGAGCTTTATACAACAGCGTATATGTAATATATTTAACTTAATCATCCATGTTTAAAGTGATTTGTTAAATAATTATTCCCTACAACAAAATATTAGAATACAGAACATGAACTTAAGAAGCACTGCCATCTGGTGGTGAACAAGAAAAATAACAAGCTAGCCGACAACATAGCAACCCAACTGCCTAGCCTGCTAGCTTGTAGCTACAGGTCACAACAATTAAATTGGGGTTATACAGGATGTGAGAGTATAAATAAAATAATAAATATAGCGAAATGGCTTACCTGTAAAGAGTATGGCCACAACAAAATGTACTTTGATTTGTAATTTCGTCAGTTTACCTGTCTAAATAAAACAAGTTAGCACAGCCTCATGCACCTTCAACAATGAAATGACTGAAATAACTCATTCTGAGAATCCTAACTTCGATATGTTGGTCTCTAAGTAGTATTATTTATGAATACAGAAGCTAACATGGGATATTTTTGTACTTCACGGTGATATTTTGGAAGTGTAGCTACTCACCCACAGCAGTGCACTCAATCTACCCTGCGTAAAATTCCTTTATTAAGAGGAAGCCAGAGACGTTATAGAGCAGGAGACCGTCCACTGGATGGGCATGGGAAAGTTCGAAACGCTCAACATGGTGTATGTTTGCGGAGAAAGTCCCGCCCTTCAATAAAAAGAGGAAATCAGCTCATATTTCCCCATTATATCAAAAACAGGCCTGCAGAACGGCAGAGAGTCCACTGTGAATGAAGGTGAAGGGAGTTAAATAGTTAAAAACAAAAAAAAATGAAGTTTTTAATTACTTGCCTAGAAATTTCTTTTAAGAAACTAGAAGCTTGTATTTCACAAAAAAAGCACATGTATGTATGTTTCCTAATTTCTACAGCAAACGGGTTTTGGGCAGCAGGATGCTAGCATTACTGCTACTGAGGGCTAATTGGTTAGCTAGTGGAGCTAGCTCACTGACGTCATGAACGTAAATGAAGCGCCATTTTAAACTCCTATAACTGGAGTTCAAAAGCTCTTAAACAGCAGTGTTAAAATGTTTTATGCTGCTCTGTGTTCAGGAAATGAATGTATTTTGTACATTAAAAATGTTTAAGTATTTATAAACTATAATTTTGCTCAAACGCTCCATCTTAACTCATTCATTTTGGACTCACTCGGGAGCGCCCTCTAGCGTTTGAGAAACCCGAAAGATGTTACAGAGTGGTAATTCTCTTCTCTACATGTTCTTTGGGAAAGCCCCGCTGTTGTGGAGATCTGTTTCTGAGGTTTTTGTCAGATTTTAGGTTCAAATATTTTGGTCTCATATGGAGGGAGCCTGGACAGACTTTCCTATAAGGACTTTGATAAGGCTGGCTTTACGGTGTGAAACCTTAATGCAAGTTGCCGGCACTGTACCAAAGTCCTTATAGGAAAGTCTGTTCACTCGATGGCCATCTCAGCAATGTGGCCAGGGAGTTATTTCCAGTCATACAAGACAAGACCCCTATCTCTTTCAATGGGAAGAGACCAAAACTGAAACTAAAAGCAGCATTTAAGTTTTTAATACATATTTGAAATCTGAAAAAATCAGACAAAAACAGCAGAAATAGTTTGTGGCATTTGGCTAACTTTTCAGCTTGTTTTGGCTACTGTGCTTGCTCCACAATGTAGGAGCTAAGTTAAGAAAAGCTAACTAGTTAGTGAACTGATCTTACCATTTTTTCTGTAACATTATTTATTGTTATTAAAATTATTTTTATCAAATACAGTAACACATAAAGTTTAGTTTACCTTGTTAGTAGCCTTTTAGTAGTTTAGACATTGAGCTGTTAGGTTTTCCACTCAGTTTAACTCAAAACTTCCTCAAGCTCAGGAAACTAAAACAACACTATCCTCCGGATGATTAGCAGAGCATGTCTTTAAACTGAATATTCCTCAGTAACACCTTCTCACATAGCCTAACAATTTGGACTAATTTACTGCCACCGCCATTCTCACTGCAGGTTTATTCTGAGGAGTTCTGTCAGATGCCGTGTTTGAAATGGTCCCCTGATCACTATATCCTACATTTGAAAGTCTGAATCACTGTATAGAACTCTATTATAAGGAACAGAGCTTGTGATGGTAGTGATTTCGGACGTCATATGGGTTTGCTTATTATTGTACGAAAGCATATTCTGTTGCATAAACAGTATAAACGTCATGCCAGTTTGACTGAATTATGAGTATCCCCTGTCCTCTAGGGTACATCGGTTGCACACTACTTGTTGTGGTGTATTCTGGGATTGTTTAAGTGCACTGGATCTTTTGCACTATAGCTGCATTCCATGTCACAGGGTCCCTAAGCAGTTCTGTTATATTCCCTGCACACTTGAGTCTGGGACGTTGGTTAAGGGAACTGCAGCTGATAAATAAGTTCATTCAGAACGTCCTGCAGCGTTATAATTAAACACGCATCTTCAAGAGATATGCAATGACTCATGGGTAAACTTTCCTGCAGATTTCTATGAAGTGATAAACGGTTGTTCACAACTCCTTGTGCTGTGCCTCCAATGGAACTTTTTTTACTCTCTATGGTTTGGAATCACCCTTAAAATGTCTGAAAACCTTGTGCAGTACACTTTGCAGGGAACTGCGAGGGTGATTGAAATGCACCTTATGTTTTTGGCCACCACTGCAAAATGGCAGAACCCCAAAATAGTACACTAAATAGTAAATAGGGCAGTCATAATTTTACAAAAGTGAAACATAAGCTTTGAGACAGAAGCTCCTGAAATGACTGAAATAGTAAACAAACACTGTGTTGAGGTCTCTACAAGCCCAGGGTTTTTGTGTTAAGGGTTTTCCAGCTTGGGGGCAGTCTGTTTGGTGGGTCACTGCTAGCCATATGAGGGCATCTTGAGCTCATGTTGGTCACTGGGGTCTCGGCTGGAATACCAATGCTGGGACCACCTGCTGGCTCACTATCCCCTACCGTACACCACCCACAGCAGTCAACAGACAGCCCCTCACTCCTAATCCAATTTTTCAGGTGATACATTCAGCCAGACTCTTCATTTTTATGCAGAATTATGCAAGGCAGGATTTCTCATTAGTGCTGGCTGTCAAACAGTGCCGCAAATAAGTCTTCGCCCTCATACAATGTTTGTCCAATTTGCAGAATTATTGCACTTTCTCCACACCAAATGTGCTCAGTGCTTTTTGTGGATTTGCGTCATTTAGTACAGGAGGTCTGAGAGAAGAGGTTATGGTCATTTACCACTGCCATTCTACTGCCCAAATGGTTGCTGTAGTACTACATCCCATCTCAGAGCCAACAGTACTAGGCTTGGAGGTCAGTTGTAATAAAAAAAAAAAAAAAGCTTTGTTTGATATAGAACTTTTACAATATGTGAAAGTTTTTTTTAAATCTTAAACACTTCCACATCTCATTTACAGAAAACGGTCTCTATTGATCCATCCACTGAAACGTTCTTTGGGGAAACAAAATTGATCATTATATGGCAAGAAACTTTTTTGGCATCTTTATTTCCAAAGTCTTACGATTATACGTTAATATTACTTTTTCCTGCCTGCTGGTGCACAGAAATCAAATAGTAACAATAAAAGACAGTAATTTTGTCTTTTAAATTTGATTTCACATTGACGAAGACTGTTCGACCATACCAACAGTCATGGCGGTCAGCTATTTTTTCTTATCCTTAACAGTGAATCTTCACAGTGAACATTCTGCCAAAATAGCAATTTTCCTTCCCCAAAACAGACTTCAGGTAATACAAGGCATCCCTCACCATCAGAAAAATACTGGTCAGTCCCTTGTCTTGTTATAAAAGAATAAAATGAAGGGCTGTCTCAAGGCTGGCAGAAGAAAACAAAAAACAAACACCTGGATGATGGATGACCATGAAGTGTGCTGGAAAGAAGTTCCATGAACAGATGAATTAAAGAATGGAACTTCTTGAGTGACAGGAAAACTAAACATTGAACTTCTTAACACTTCAGCATGGTGCTGGGAGTGTCAGGATGGGGGTGCTTTGCTGTATTCCAAATCCAGCTGGCTCATTAGTGAAGAATCCTGTCTAAAGCATTTAGCATAACATTACGCTTCAATATGCATCAAGACAATGATTAGAAGTTCATGAGCTTGAAAATGAAGAAAAATCTGGGAAAGTTCAGACTGACACCCCAGAGAGAGACGCAGCTTGGGCTATAAAACTTGCTGCATAATAGACACCACTGCAATTCCAACAGTAGCAGGAGTCTGATCAGTAATTACAGCAAGCATGAGGTTGCCCTTATCACGAACGGGAAAGCTTTTAAATATGAAGCAGTAGGTATCAATTTTATTTGTAAATTGAATCATTTATGTGCTCACAACCTGTTGTGTTACAACCGAGACAGCCAAGACAGCTCTAGCAGTAATGGGGAAGGGTAAAAATAAATGAACACAAACAGATGCCTTGAGGATCTGCAGGCACCTCAAAATATTTTCCTTTAGGTTGAGTGCATGCATGCTTTCCATTTCGCTGTGATGGGCAAAGTGCACCTTTAGATCATTAGTGTTTGGAACAAATATCCCAAGCAGTGCAGCCTTTAAATACAGAACAGACACAATTCAAAACAGTACATCAAGTTTATTTTTGTTCTCTCATCAGCAGAGTTGTTAAAATATGTCGTCATTCTTGATGAAGTGCAACAGTAGAAGGCAAACAGGATTCTTTACATGCTAGATAGTCACTCATACACAACCATGATTTGACTTGGCAACAATTCCAAATAAAACCATACTTGCACTTTGACCTGACAGCGGGCGCTAGCAATACACAGGATTGCCCGAGCAGTAAAAACACGTTCCTTTAAGAAACAGGGAGAGAACGCTAAAACCAAAAAACGTTGGGTTTTACCTTTTCCACAATTCAAGTAGTTTTTGTTTGTCTACAACAAATTCAAGTTCAAACTCAAATACAAGGAGGAGTCCAGATAAAAGGGGAAAAGCCACTCCACAGCCCAGGAGTGGCCTGGAAACAGGGATGAGGGAAGCCGTTTGTTACTCAGGGTGACTTGCATCAGCAGTGATTGGACATGAGAGCTGCTTCACTGACGTGGTCCACTAGATCCTGCTCCGCGGCCAGCACCAAAACTGGGCTTCTGAGACATGCCCCCTCTGGGTGGTGGACCCCTTGGCCCTCCTATCCTGTCTCGAGGTCCGCCAGGGCCCCTAGGGCGGATGTCCCGACGGTCTCCTTCACGAGCTGAACGGGTCTTCTTTTCCTCCACGTTCAGACGCACGTCACCTCGTAGCTTTATGGGCTAGAATTAGATTTTAAAAAACCTTATTGATGTGCCTGACTTAACTAAGAACAGAGTGTCAGTTACATACTGAAATCTGAAAATCAGACATACCCGGTTGCTCAGGATCTTCTGTACTGGTTCGGAATCATCAAAGACCACAAATCCAAAGTTGGGCAGTTTGCCACCACTGTTGATCCTCAACTCCAGTACTGTGCCATACTCTGAAGACAGACAAGCTGCGCTGTTAACACCACTTCAAAGCAAATCTGATTTTACATAAGCATCATGCAAGTTGAAGTCACAAGGGAAGAAGACAATATTTAAAAGACTCACGTTCAAAGAACTCCTTAAGCTCAGCCTTGTCCACATCATGAGGTACATTTCCTACAAAGAGTTGCTGGCTGTCGGGATACCTGACCACCCGCCTCACTTCAGACTCCCCACTCTCACCTTCTCGCACTGCAAACAAGCATGCCCAACATTGCAATTTTTGAAATGAAGCCATGATCTGCATAATATTAACCTACTAATTTACAATATAAAAACTTTTAATTTGGTGGGAAGAGATGCAATTTGTTCAGTAAGGACAGAGGAAGGGTACTACACAGAGCTGAAAACATGCTGCAGGCAGTTTCACTTCATACCAGGAAATTTTTAAATTAAGTTGCCAGGGAAAAAAGCCATTCAAGTGTGGGTCTTTTGTAATTACTTTGATTAAAAAGACCTAATTACTTCCCCTAAGGGCATCCCCCTTACAAAAGGCAAAAAAAATAAGATGCAACAGCTCAGTTTTAGGTACTGGCTACAGTATGCCACATGCTGTACATTCTAATAGAGAAGGAAACCTGGGGAAAAACAATAGTATCTCTTGTGCTGCCAAGGGATATGCAAAGCATGTACCCGTGTGGTCACATGGAAAAACCATTCTGCTTTGAGTATGTTAAGTGCAGTAGTGGTTACCTATACTGGTTGTATAACTGCACTACACTGGAAATTGTCTGCTGATGTGGACCTCATTCAATTCAACTTCCGATCCTCCCTGAGCACTTCTCATGCAAGAGTAAAAGAAGCTACACTGAAAAGTATTCAGAATTGGTCAATATATGGTGTGTACACAGTACTGCATACCTCCTGGTCTTGGTGCTCTCTGTGCTGGAGAGGGTCCTGGTCTTTGGTCACGTGGTCTCTGGTCTCTTTGAGGTCTCTGTGCTGTGGTCTGGGTTTCTGTTTTTACTTCCACACGGGGCTGCAGAAACAAGACACATTCAGTGCCACATTTGTACATTTCTCCATAAAAATGGGGAACAAAATATGCTAAAAGTGAAAAAATTCAGTATGTAATTCAAGCCTAAAAAAGAACAACCAATTTCCACACAACCTGGCCTCCTCACAAGAGTCAAAGGATGTGAAATTAATGACCAAAAAGCTGTTTGACAGTATACCTGAGTTGCTGGAGCTTTGACTACGTGAGGGGGAATTCCTGAAGGTGGCACCACTCCTCCTTGGGGGAGATTCTTGCTGGTGACTAAAGCCCACGAGAAAGGCTGAGGGACAGAATAAAAAAAGCTCAATCGTGTTCTTTTATTAACAGAATAAATTTCAATAAATAAATAAATAATTCAATTCCCCTTTCCAGTTAATCTCTGGCATAACCCACATGTTCTGACCTAAATCTACAACTTGAGGGTCTGAATTTTACCCTATTGGAACTAGATTTCTAAAAGCAACTTCAGAAGTAAAGCCCACACTGTGAACCAAACAGTAATAAAAAGGTGGGCATACTCGGTTGTCCTCTGGTGCGGCAGGTGCAGGGTCAGCAGGTGTGGGTGAGGGTGGAGCTCTCTGGGTCTTTTCCACAGGATGGGGTTCTGTCTGACTGACTGGCTCCTGTTTCAGCTCCACTGCAGCTGGCTCAGGCTCAGGCTCAGCCTCTGGCTCGGCCTGGGGCTCTGGGGTCACAACCACCTCCTCCTGAGGGGCCTCGGGCTCCGGGCTGAAATAGTGCACGCATTCAAATGTTATAACCGCCAAACCTGCCTACCAGATTTAATGTTTTCTGTCAAGTGGAGAGAAAACAGAACAAGATAGTACCAAGGTGTCTGTTCATAGAATGCAGCGGCCTCTTCTTGTGGCACTTCAGGGGAGTTTACTCTCTCCTCCAGCTCCTCCACTTCCTCCTCAGACTCTGCAAAGGAAAAAGATGAATGATGCCATCTGCTATGCAATGGGGCTGCCTACATTAAAGGCCCATTCATTTTAGTGACTCACCCTCAGGAGGTTCAGAGTCCGAGTCTCCAAAGACCTCATCTTGATAGCGGAAAATGTCATTGTGTACGTAAAACTTGTTTGCAACAGTGCCCTAAAATGGATGACATTACAAATAACAAATATTAGGAGCACATCAGATGGCCAGGATATTACAAATTCAGAACCAAAATGGACTCAAATTACCACCAGCATAAGTGAGTAACTTGTTTTGACACTACTGGCTGCATCTACAAATAAATTTAGACTTTATAAAAGCAGCATTAACAAAAATTCTGTTTGATAACATTACCAGTCTGTATTCAAACTCCAATAGCACCATGTTTTTGGAAAGATCGATGCAAAAGCCAAAAAATAACATATGTACGCATCACATACCTCAGGGGCCAACACAAAGGTCTGCATGAATTTCCTCATGGGTTGCATGTTGTTGGACAGCTCTCCCATCACCTGCACCACAACCCCCTCGTTCAGGGTCGCATGGGCATCAACATGCCTGATTTTAGTGTGGCAGTCGTGGAAGCTCAGTGCCATCACCTTCTTATGAATTTCCTGTACATGGAACGAAAAATGTGTCAAACAAGCTTCTTATAATTTCCTAAAGCGTACAAGCACATGGGGTGAAATGATTCACAAAATTCATAATACACCTCTCTGATGACCTAATAAAAATAAGAATGAAAATGGCTTGTGTTAATGTTCAGTTTATTAAATCATTCAACTTTTTAAAATGCAAGGGTGGGCAATATGACTTATACTTCATGAAAAAGCAAGCAATTGTTGATCTCACCAGAACTTACAGAACACTACAAAGTTAGCCTAATTAGTCCTGTTTAAGTGGATTTAGTGCAGGGCAGTAAAACATTAAAATCACCTGATTTGTAGATTTACTATTATTAGTTATAGTAGTACTTTTTAAAATGTGGCACTACAGGTTCCAATTTCTATTCTAACTTATTAAATTTCAGAAAAACTAAATACTGGATGCATTTTGTGCCATGAAACGTGTTAAAGTACCTTGACAATATTTTTGCTATATCGCTCACCCCTTAAAAATGTACTATGTATGTTATAATAAGGGGCTTACCCTTCCTGAACTTTATTTTTAAAAGTTTCTTTTCCCACCCAGTGAGGGTCTGCCCTTACTGTGAGCTTACTTGTTTACTTTTATTTAGATTTCATATAAAAGCAGTTTGAATGAGTACTTTATTAAGTCCAATGACTACTGTTTAATGCCTGTGTGTACGGAATTGAGAAACCTGCACTGTATACAATGTAACATGCTGCACTGTTACACTACAATCCCAGCATGAATCATGAATTAGACAAACCGAGTCTTAGTTTACATACCGACTGTCCATAGACTGCCTCTGCTGGCTTGCCATTGTTGTCCAGACCTCCATGCACATAAGAGGAGTTCTTGCCATAAAACCTATAAATTCAGAATCACATGAGCATTTAAGACTTACTAACCAAAAAATTACCCTGACATACACATCAACTATACTCATGATTAATGCATGCTTATGAAAAATTCATTTTTATTTAAAATTACATAAATATTATGCATAACATTTTACCTGTGCAGGTAGTCAGGAGCCTGGTTCAGAAGGGTGTAATACTGTCGGACAAACTCTCGCCCGACAAGCTGGGCACTTGGCTTCTCCATCACCATTTCTTTGGTCAGCTGGTTTCAACTGAGAGAAGAAGACCACGAGTAAAACACCCAGTAAAACAGACAGACAAAAATCAAGGCCATCTGCTTCATTACCTGTACAATCAAACCCTCTAAGCCCATCAAGATGGAGGAGCGGGGACTGCCATTCGCTTAGATAACCGATGGTCGCTAATCGTTTCTATCAGTAAACCTTGTTTCCAATAGCAGCGCTCGGCACACCCTTTCAGTCATCAAACTGCACGCCGGCAATAACGTGAGACGCTGCTAGCCGTCTCGCTAACCAGGCCCATGTGATTAAGCCATGCTCAATGATGCCTCGTTGCCAGCTTGAGGTACGCTTTGTTATAGATGTGTTAACTTAAATGATCAATCCATCACGTAATAATCGCTATAGCGGTTATATAAGGCAGTAAATTCCGTCGACAAATGTGATTACCGTAATATTTATAAAGGTAACTTCGAAAAATAAGCACGTGTTCTCCATTAATTCAGATTAGCAGAGCAAGCTAACAGGGCACAAGTCGCATCGAAGTAAGGTATGCTTGGGAGACCTTTAGACAGACATAATTAGAATAAAATAAGTAAAAGACTACACTAATATGCTCTTACACCCAAAACCGCAAAATGTATATCGAAATTAGGTCGAATCCTAGCATTTCTGTCTGCCATTATTCGTAGGCTACGGCTAACCGGACAGCGCTGTAACGTTAGCGGATAAGCGAACGAAGCTCTGACTGAATTACAATGGCTTTAGCCTAGCACGCTAACGCGTTCAGCCTCTTCCTGAACATACCCACAGCCATTTCATGCGGCGTAGTTCGGTTATCTAGATAGCATTAGTAATGAATCTTATTTTGAGACAGAAGTGACCGAAATTAAACGAACCGACACATCTAAAGATAATTTCCACCGTACGAATGAGGAGGTAATGTCCATTAGCGGCACAAACCGAAGCCGCTAAGCTAAATAGCAACGGCTAACAAGCTAGTTAGCTACCGAACACGCGTCGCTAAATATGTAGGTTATATTTTCCGAGATGGAGAAAAATGTTTTTGTTTTATTCTCAATTCATATTTAGGGTTCTTACCAGGAGGGAAGATGTCGTAAGTTCCGTGAAGAAATGTCTAGCGAGTTTATGTAATCGCCTCCTGCGCCGGGTGGAGTGAGAATGGCAGCGCGTGCTTAGCCGGTTTCAAATTCGCCCTAACTGCGGCTACGGCGGAGCTGCACGCGATTAATGGAGGCCAATGGACTTGCGGAACGGAATCGACCCAACCAATCAGCAATCGAGCGGTCAAAATGGCCCCCAAGCTTACCCAATCAAATTTGACATTGCTAATTCACCACAGCCTATGATGTAGGAGTACGGTCAGATTTAATAGGGTAATCGTGGAGGGGTTTGGTCTATTATGGCCGATTGGTTGGGTTAATGCTATTGTGAAGCAGTTCCACCATACTGTGATCTGAAAGGATTACTATACAATACTGTGCTAAAAACAAGATTGAATATGACAGCTGAAAACTGCTGTCAAAAACAATTGCACACTGGTTGATACCGCAGTCAGAAAGCAAATTTATGCCGTGCAATGGTGTAATCGAAAAGCAGTATTAACAAGCAAGCTTAGGTCATTATCAGCTTTCTACAAACTAAAAACCAATATTATTATTATTAAGAGTTTTTATATTTTATTTTACTGCAGTAGCTGAAAAAAAAAAATAATAAAAATCTGTAGACCCCTATCATTATATTGTTAACTGGTTTACATATATATACCGATCAGGCATAACATTATGACCACCTCCTTGTTTCTACGCTCATTGTCCATTTTATCAGCTCCACTGATCATATAGGTGCACTTTGTAGTTCTACAATTACAGACTGTGGTCCATCTGTTTCTCTGCATACTTTGTTAGCCCACTTTTACCCTGTTCTTCAGTGGTAAGGACCCCCATGGACCCTCACAGGGCAGGGACTTTTTGGGTGGTGGATCATTCTCAGCACTGCAGTAACACTGACGTGGTGGTGTGTTAGTGTGCGTTGCGCTGGTATGAGTGGATCAGACACAGCAGTGCTGCTGGAGTTTTTAAACACCTCAGTGTCACTGCTGGACTGAGAATAGTCCACCAACCAAAAATATCCAGCCAACAGCTTCCTGTGGGCAGCGTCCTGTGACCACTGATGAAGGACTAGAGGATGACCAACACAAACTGTGCAGCAGCAGATGAGCTATCGTCTCTGACTTTACATCTACAAGGTGGACTGACAAGGTAGGAGTGTCTAATAGAGTGGACAGTGAGTGGTTTAAAAACTCCAGCAGCACTGCTGTGTCTGATCCACTCAGACCAGCACAACACACACTAACACACCACCACCACGTCAGTGTTACTGCAGTGCTGAGAATGATCCACCACCCAAAAAGTCCCTGCCCTGTGAGGGTCCATGGGGGTCCTTACCACTGAAGAACAGGGTAAAAGTGGGCTAACAAAGTATGCAGAGAAACAGATGGACCACAGTCTGTAATTGTAGAACTACAAAGTGCACCTATATGATCAGTGGAGCTGATAAAATGGACAATGAGCGTAGAAACAAGGAGGTGGTCATAATGTTATGCCTGATTGGTGTATATAATACTTTTAGGCTCATCTGGACAGCCTATGCAGATCCCCATTTACCTGGGCCAGCAGTAAAAACAACAACAACAACAAAAACACATCAGCTTCAACTTAGCTTGGTTCTAAGCCTTATGTTGCAACAGCTGTTCAGAATCACTTTGGATTCAAACCAACTGGGGGGAACTACGTGAACAAAAGTCACACTGTTTAAAAAAAAATGATGGTTAATATAGTATATAAAATGTACCCCAATTATAAAATTACCTTCAGTGGATTTCAAATAGCAATGTAATCTGTTTAATTACTCACTAATTTTGTATCTCAAACAAGTTGGTCGTCTAAAGGTATGACACTCCACCCACTAACATGACCTAAATGTTTAGGTTAAACCAATAATTATATGTCATATTTAGCTGTCTGTCATGCCAGTGGCCAAATAAGAAGCTTACATAGATTCCCAAGAACCTCCAGTAATGCTATCACCATGGCAACGTTTACATGGTTGCATGCCATCATTGGCCACATACACTGATTACACCAATTCTGCTATGAGGCACAGAGCATGGTTTTTAAACAGCAACATGTAAACACAGCATTAGCGGTGTAATACCATAATCTAAAAGCAAGATTAGATTATGATACTATAATCTTAAAGCGAATTGCATGGCCCAGTGCAGCAGAGAGACTCCTGGCATGTCTTATCTTATTTTAGGAAAAGTGAATGTGACTGGGTTTGCTTTTTACTGTGTTGCTCCAATGTTTAAAGATTGGATAAAACTTCGAAAGAACAGCTTCGATAAGATGTTCTTTCCTAAGACCTGTTACATTAGAATATAATGGCTGTAGTTTTGAATTTGTATAATATAGTCATGTATTTCAAATGTTTATTTGCAGAATTCAGCAACTGCCCAATGCCTTCTATTTGAAGTGAGTTTAGAGCGGGCAGCTTTTCAGTTCCTTTCTAAGTACAGAGAAACATGTAGAAATGATTTTTGGTAATCTTTCGTATGATACAGATGCAGTGGATAGAGATTAGGTTGAAAAATCAGGGGTGCTCAGTCCTGGTCTACCACCCTGGAGAATTCAGAGCCAACACACCTGGCTCTAACATTCAGGTGTCTCTGAAGGCCTTCATTACCTGCATCAGGTATGCTAGATTAGGGTAGGAGCTAAACTCTACAGGGTGGTAGATCTCCAGGACCAGGACTGGGTACCCGTGGCCTAAGTATTTCCTGTAGACATGGACCTGTAAAACAGGCTCTCAATCTTAGTCCTACTGCACTGCTGCCCTGCATAGTATAGTACTTTCCGTCTAGTATACACAGTTGAACTCTTGTTAATTAGCTGACAATTTGAATGGGATGGGTTGGGGCTGCATAAACACTAAAATGTGCAGAACGGGGATACTTCGGCAGAGATTTGGGAACCATTCTTTAAAATAATTGTAATGAATGTTGATTGTCCACTAGGGGACGCCACCTCCCATTCCAGAGGACAAAGGACGGTCCATTGAAAAGGTCACCATTACATTCTTATTAAAGGAGGTCATCCAGGCAGCATATTTTAGCTAATTACAACATGTTCATGTGAAATCAATAGTAACTTAATGCCATAAGCCAGATCAGTATTAGTAACTGTATTAGTTGGCTAATAGGCTACTAACCACTTATTAAACCTACTTCTAACGTAACTAACTCATATTTATTCAGTGATATTCTTTTAAAAACTCTTCATACATTACATAAATGTATGGGTTTGCTTGAACACACATGTTTCTGACTTTCTCTATACAGGGTTAAACTTGTTATCTGCACTGTCTGGCTTGTGGGAGGATTGGAAACTTGAGGTTTTCTCCTCCTCCCTGTTGTGGAAGGGGTTGGGCCGCTCCGTCTCTTTGTGCTTGGAGCTCTGCCATTGTTGGAGATTCCTGAACAGAGTGTCTGGCTAGAAGGGTAAAACTGGTGACTGGGTGAAATCAGCTCACTGTAGCAGGGCTTTTCCCATGCCTGCACTAAAGCTCATCACTCTACAGGGACCAGTGGCTCATATTTCCCAGGATATTGAGCAATATACATGTGTTCAGCAAATGAACCAATGACCTGCTGTTGGTTTTAGCTCTAGAGGATCCTCTTATGACAAAAACAACTATGGTAATGATACAGGAACAGGTGTATTTTGCATATATACAGTTGTATGCAAATGTTTTAGATTTTCTAATGAAAATAAGTACACATCTTCTTAGGAGAATACACATCTGCACACTGTAATGAACAATTACTGTTTATTTAATACATTTAACACACTGGAAAAAAAACAGTCATGAAATGTGGCCTGTGCAAAAATTATGGCATATTTTATATTTTGTGTTTCATGTTCAGCAGTTAAAATCAGCAAATAAATACAAATTGTGAACTAAAATGTGCAGAACAGTGCCCCTATAGCCGCTAGTTCCCTGTAGAGAATGAGTTATACAATCAACAAAACACACATACACACACACACACATACACACACACACACACACACAACAAACAAATATCTTGTATCTCCATTTTTTTTTTTTTTGCATTTTTCAGTTTTTGTCATAATTTGAAAATACCCGTTGTCCTTTATATTGTGTATAATTACTTGGAAAAAAATCAGGTTCCTTTGACTTACATTAAAAGTAAAGCATGTTTTTCCTTCTTCCAAAAAAATTAGGACGTTGTGCAAAATGTAAATAAAAACAAAATGTCAAGATGTGCAAATCATTTAAACCCTATATTTAACTGAAAAAAGTATGAATACAACATATCAAATATCAAATTTTATTGTTTTTTGAAAATTATTTGCCCATTTCGAATTTGATGCCAACAACACATTCCAAAAAAGTTGGGACGGGGACAACAAAAGGCTGGTGAAGTTGTGTAATGCTAAAAAAAAACAGCTGATGGTTTATTGGCAACAGGTCAGTAACATGATTGGGTATAAAAAAGCATCCCAGAGAAGCTGAGTCTTTCAGAAGCAAAGATGATGAGGGGTTCACCACTCTGTGAAAGCCTACACGATCAAATAGTGCAACAATACAAGAATAACATTTCTCAACTTAAATAGCAAAGAACTTTTGCTTTTCATCATCTATGATACATAATAACATTAAAAGATTCAGAGAATCAGGAGAAATCTCTGTATGCAAGGGACAAGGCCAAAAACCAGTATTTGCTGGCCTTGATCTTTGGGCCCTCAGGCGGCACTGCATTAAAAACAGACATGATTCTGTAGTGGAAATCACTGCATGGGCTCAGGAACACTTCTGAAAACCACTGTCTGTGAAAGCAGTCCATCATTGCATCCACAAATGCAAGTTAAAACTCTACTATGCAAAGATGAAACTATATATAAACAGGAACCAGAAATGCTGCCACCTTCTCTGGGCTGAAACTCATTTAAAATGGACATTGTGTCCTGTGGTCTGACAAATCAACATTTGAAATTCTTTTTGGGTAATCATGGATGCTGTGTCCACTCAGCTTGTTATCAGTGCACAGTTCAAAAGCCAGTATTCATGATGGTATAGGGGAGCATTAGTGCACATGGTATGGAAGACTTGCACATCTGTAAAGGCACCATTAATGCTGAACGAAATATACAGGTTTTGTTAACATATGCTGCCATCCTGATGACGTCTTTTTCAGGAAAGGCCTTGCTTATTTCAGCAATTGATGATGCCAAACCACATTCTGCATGTATTACAACTGCATTGCTCCATATTAAAAGAGGCTGGGTGGTAAACTGGCCTGCCTGCAGTCCAGACATGTCACCCACTGTTAACATTTGGCACATTATGAAATGAAAATACAACAATGGAGACCCCGAACTGTTGAGCAGCCGAAATTCTATGTCAAACAAGAGCGAGAAAACATTTAACTTTCAAAACTACAGCAATTGGTCTCCTCAGTTCCTAAATGCTTACAGAGTGTTGTTAAAAGAAGAGGTGGTAGAGGTGGCACAATGGTAAACATGCACCTGTCCTAACTTTTTTGGAACGTGTTGTTGGTATCAAATTCAAAATGGGCATATATTTTTGAAAAAATAATAAAATTTCCCAGTTTCAACATTTGATATGTTGTCTTTATAGTATTTTCTTTTAAAAACATGGTTCACATGATTTGCAAGTTGTTGTATGTGTGTGTGTGTATATATATATATATATATATCTGTGTGTGTGCGTAAAATGGGCATATGTTTTTCAAAAACAATAACATTTCTTAGTTTCAACATTTAATATATTGTCTTTGTAATATTTTCTATGAAATATTAGGTTTAAATGATTTCAATGTCATTGCATTCTGTCTGCAAAAGTCTGTGTCCCAAATTTTTTGAAAATGGGGTTGTATCATATAAATTTTCTGTTTTTGTATATGATGAAGTATAAAATTTGTTATGGCTGGCTGCAGCATTAAGCGAGTTGTTACTTAGCAACCAGTACAAAGTGGAATCTGTGCTTGGGTAGAATGCTTCTCAACCAATCAGGATGTGCCATAGTTATGTAAATTGCTATTATTATATTTAATAAATTGTTCACATTACTGTAGTTCATTATAAGGCACTTATATGATATACTTATATAGATTACCATAGAGATAATAAATGAGTACAATACTATACTGTACTAGTATTATAGACTACTATTACTGTTGCTAAGACAGGCGTACAGGAATATTATACAAAGGTGAAAGTATTATAGATTATTACTGAAGGATTACAGTGCAATAAAAATGGTTTAGTTTCCAACTGTATTTCTGCAGTTCCTTTATATAAGAGGAGCGTTTTGAATTTTGAATGGTTACTACAGTTTTGTACTACCCAGTCACTACAGACTTCAGTTTCTGTCCACTGCACAAACCTTTAAAAAGCTGTTGTGGCCTTTTTTCTTCACTTTGCTCAACACACCCTGCATTACACATAAATGTAGAAGCTGTGGGTCATGCTGACCTTTTTTGTTTAAAAATAACCTCTTAATTGTAGGATATAGAAATACCCTTTCATGCCAAAGCACAGGAGAAACATTACATAGATGCCCACTCCACCCTCAGGGAAATTGCAAACATGTGTGCTGCAGATCTTATTTTTTTCTTAGCACATGCATTTATATGGTAGCCTATTTTCATGCAGCTTTCACATCTATGATGCGTCCATTAATACGTCCATTAAGCACATACTTTGACAAATTTAACCAAATCAGGTTCAACCAAGGAGAACTGCACAAATGAGCTGATAGTAGGCTTATTCAGTGCGGGCTTTGCTGAACGTGAACCATGACATGAGAAGTGTAGAAGCAGAGGGAAGACAGATATCCATAGCAGAAAGATGAAACATTGAGGAAAATGCATGCAATGTTTGGGTTTGGAAATTTCAGTAGCTTTATTCATGTAAAGAGTGCTCACATTGTGGCAAATACTGTAAATGTACGCAAACAGGTTAGAGGGACAAATGTCTCATCCTGCGAGATTCTTTTCCCTTCGAGTTCAAATAATATTTTCTTGTATTGTTCAAATTGCTTAATACTCAACATGGTGTCCTGTTTTTTTCGACAAGACGCAACAGGCAAATAAACAGACCTTATTATTATTAGTATTATTATTCAGGGCTCAAATTTAAAGAAGCTCTAACCAAAAACAGTGTATCCCCCACCAAAAGAGTGCAACAAACAAAAGTAAAAGGTTTATAAAGCAAGCAGAAAGAATATTTATTTGGAAACTTTATTTTTGTCTTTTTACAAGTTTCTCAGTAACTCCGAATTGACATTAAATTCAAGCCCTGATTCCTTGAAAAATATGTAACTCTTTGTGCATCCAATGAAAAAAAGCCTTTCGACGTACAAAGTCCATCATATCCTTAACATCACCCTCCTCTGACATTTCAAACGTCTACTCAGTTCCATCAGCTGGCTTGAGCATTTGCACAATATTGGAAAAATTGCAAGAACAAAACAAAACAAAACAAAAAAAATATGGGAACTTATCACTTACTGTGATGGTTAGTGTGGACTGTGCATGTTCTTTTTACAGTTTAAATTTTAGTGGTATACATAGGTTACTGGAAATCGCAATTAGCACCATTAATGTAATTTTAATTTAATGGCTAGCACCTCATCCCAATAGTAGGCTAACTAGGAAGTGTTGATGGTGGCCACGATTTAGATGACGAGGTCATTGTCAATGTCCTCTGCAAGAAGAAAGAAAAAGAAGTATTAGTGAATGAATTTATTCAACCTCGGAAAAGCCTAAAAGCGTGATTGTGACGTACGCTCTTTGATGCCGAAGCAGCTGGCCCACTCCTCCAGGGCGATGTAATTGTCCTGGTCAGCGTCGCACTGCTCGAAGAAGCTGGTGGTACAGTGCTCCATTGGGATCAGAGGGGCACGCAGGGGAGCCAGCTCAGTGTGGGACAGGAACCTGAAAAACACATGCTTTGGTCAAACACTGGAGATGGAAACACCAGCCATCTTTTTCTTCCATGGCATTTAGCAGGAAAGCCAAAAATAAATGTCAATGTTTGCAGAGAACAGTTTGTTCTACAGGTTCAAATAGATGTGACTTGAACATGCCAGAACAGCTGCAAAATAAGCTATACTGGTCCTTTGGGACATTTAATTTGGCCCGCCAGCGAGGTACCCCAACCCCACCCCCTCACTTAATAAGAGAACAAACATGTTTATACTAAATATAACTTGTTTACTCCTTCTTTTCTGTTTATTTTTATATGAACAAATGAAGTAGTGTGATGTCATAAAATACATATTTGTATTTTTTTTCCTTTTGGCTCTCGGCCCACCACAAACATTGGCCCCCAAGACAAAAAGTTTGGGCACTCCTTAACAGAATAGCTTTTAAAAAAATGTATGGCCGCATACCCGTCCACGGGGTGCTGGTCAAGCTGGCCAAACTGCCAGTGCACGGGGAAGATGTACATGTTGTAGTTCTTTTCGAAGTCCAGGGCCAACAGGTCCAGGGAGTGGTCACCAGCCTGGAGCCTCTTCTCATTCTCATAGATCTTCTTCACCTGAAGATGGAACACAACATGTTTTCAGAGCACAGAAGACACGTATGTTGTCAATTGTAAAATAATATTTTAATAAATATAAGTAAATAAAATAATAAAATGTTATTACGTTTTCTTAAAATTTAATACAATTATTAAATAAAAAATGTACAATTTGCAAAGTATTCATGGTTTATTCTAGTGCATGGTATGTCAGTCATTCCTAAAAATAAAGGTTACAAAATAGTTCTAGGCTTAGATGTACGGTTCTGGGGAAAAAAAAAATGGTTCTCTAAATAACCATCAACTGAAATGTTCTTTACAGAACTAAAAGTGGTTCTTTAATAGTATCCCTTTTTGGCACCTTTACTTTATATCCTCCCTGGGAATGAAACTGTGATGTTTATTGACTGCACTGACTGCAGGCTAATGGTTTTGAATAATTCATAGGTACATTAAATAATGTATTGAGACCAACGTTGAGGAGAAAAGACAGACCCTCAGCTTCTGCTTCTCGTTGAGCAGGTTGTTGTCCTCATCGCGCTCGTACAGAGTGACCAGCACGTTCTTCAGCCAGTCCCTCATACGCAGGGGGAACTCGTTCAGCTCGTTGTCCAGACAGGGGGCAATGTCTGGGGAACAGAGCCAGCAGAAATGGTTAGCGGTAGCCAAGTGAAAACCAAAATACTACAAATACCAGCACGCTTCTTAATACTGTATACTAAACGTCTCGACTGGCTGTGTAGCAAACAGTCTGCTATGAAACCGTGAAATGTGTCTTCGGTGCTAAATATATCTTTAAAGGCTGATTTACCTCATAGCTTACAACTATGCTAGCGCTATTAGCTAATTCACTAGTATCAAATACGTTTTTCTCAGTTCATCTGCAACTCAGGCACCCTGCAGTGAGGCTTTAGTTGCAGCAGGATCTCCATCTGAGCCCTTTGGTCCAGAAACTTGGCCCAACCCAGGGAGATTTAAGAGGGGATTCTCTCTGTTTTGTGGAGTAGAGTAACACGGGCATGCTAGGGCCTGCCCAATGCTCAGCATGTGCAGTGCCCTGCGAGGGAGGCCTCCAGCCTGGAGCTCATCAATCATCGCAAAGCACTCAGCTTTGCCTGGCTTTTATGGCCCACACCATGACTGGCTTAAATGTTAAACATCCTCTGCGGCAAACACCTTGCACTTTCAATTTATCACGATTTATTTTTTTTTTTTACCAGACAAGTGATGCACACTTACATTTGCAGGGTCCGATGTAGTCCAGGTGCAGCTTGTGGCCCTTCTTGGTGCCCTCCAGGGCGCACTTGGTGGCGAAGAAGTGGCAGGAGGAGTCATAGGTCTTGTTGTCAGTGCCACAGACCTACAAAGTGCAAGAAGGCAACTCTAAATGCCACGCTTTCCAACCTGGAAGATTTAGATTGCTATTCATCAAAGAGGTGGGCGTGCCTGGCAGCAAAAATTTCTTGCTATGAAACACAAATATTCTTTTCAGTCAGAGTTCTGACTTAGAAGAATGCTGTCCCTGCAGTCCTAGGTATTGCTGTCAGTCTTCATTTATAGTCTAGGTTTGATAGATTGACAAAAAAAAAGGAAAAACAATCAAGACATATTTGGTGTCCTTGCTTTTCTTCTTTACTCTTGCGCTGGAGCCACAAAGCTAATGTATCTAACAAGTATTGGAAGCTTGTGAGCATAAATTTACTTGCTTAAATCTTCACATAGTTGTTTTGTACCACACTGAGATGTTAACATAACTCAGATAGTCTTGCTTTTGTTGTTTCTGACACTGTAGGATACCGTTATAAAAATGGACAAAAGTACATTGATTAGCTAATACGGCATTAGCAGCATCTTGAGGCCTGAATTATACGCTTGTTATGAATAACTTCATCTTTGCATGATGCTAATTGGTGAGATATAAACTTCCATTGATTGTTATCTACATAGCCTCATAACACAGACATGGCTGATTACACTTGGGGTAAGGGGGGATTTTTTTTGCCACACCAGTCTGTTATAATGTGTTATTATCAATGCCTGAGCTCCATAATGAACCAGCATTCAAAAGGCTCACATGCTCAAACTCTCCATCGGGGGTGGGGCAGGTCAGAGGATCCTGGCACACACACATGGGCTGGTTGCTGTCATCGACCTCACACACCTTGCCCTTCTTGCAGTGATGGTTAAGGCAGGGATCTAGGGGGAGAGGAAATGTGACAGTTTAGCTAATATGTTTTTCCAGCACTTTTAAGCACACAATCCTTCTTTTCTCAATTTCCCCTCTCTGGTTTAGCTCTTTTGTGACTGGCAGACACATTACATTGCTGGATGTGTGGCACTTAAACATGGTTTTCTAAGAGCGTAGCCTGGGTAACTCATAATTATAGCTGTCTAGATTTGACTTATGTGCAGTCTGTCATTACCAGAGGCATCATAAGGTTGCTGCTGTATAATTTACTCATTCTAACACAATGTGGTTAGCTGAGTGGCAGTGGGGATTCAGTTTTTCTGAAGTAAAGCGTTTCAATATACGGTCCTCATAACAAAATCACTGGACCTTATATGGTGTGGCTGCACTCTTAAAAAGCTTACATCATGGAAAACCAAATAGTTTTCCTAGTTTTTTTTAAATAAAATAGTTTTATATAGTATGTAAACATTTCATACAGTCCACATTTGGAAACTAAGCCTTTTGAATGCATTGTTTTTGTGACATTATGAAAACCAACATATATATACATATATATTCGCCTATTCATCTTACAACAGATTAACCCTGCACATTCACTTTGAAGTTATAAGGAGTGTTTTGGCCTGGACTGCTTTTTAAATGAGGCATTTTTGAATGTACAGCCAATCAGGACAGAGGTCATTTGCATATACACGTGTTAAAGGCTCTGCAACAAAAACAGCCTGTTCATTTCTAAGGGCTAAAGAAAAGTTAGAAAATGGTCATGTAAAAATTAATCATGACTATTTTGGTGCATAAACCTACACAAACGTTAAATAAACCTCGAGGGAAATAAATACAAGAAAAATGTCAGACCTAGCTAAACCTTCTGACATTCTTAATGATATTTACACTTACTCTCTGCAACAACATCCTCCACAACCTCAATGGCCTCATCAAACTCTCCAGTCTCCACTTGGACTGGGTTGGCTCCCACTTCCAGCTCCTGAGTGAGGAGAGAGAAAAGCAGCACTGTTGGAATTGCACATATTGCCCATCACGTTTGCACAATGCGTTTTGCTATAATGGCTGAAAATATCATAAGACAATGTCAGAAACCAATGGGAGTAAATGTCCTATATTTCTCAACAGGCGTGCAAACAGAGGGCAAAAATAACAGGCTCCGTGCCCACATGTGGGAAAGCAATGACACTTAATTGCTTCCTTTCAGTTATATTTACAAACTCTTGTGGATTTCGAGCCTCCAGGGACTTATAACAGGAAGCTGCACACAAAGTTCTATGTGCATATACATATACACATTAAGACGTGCTGCCATATAGAGAAAAGGCCCATTATTTCTTGTTAGAACCCTAAAGTTACTACAAGCCTATTTACATCCAAATTAAATGGGTCTTACCTCCTCAACAATTGGCTCCTCCTCTGCCTGCAAAATAAATGGTTCAAAAGACCATCAGTGCCTGTAAATTGTTCCGGTGTGATTAGATGCCTACTTTTGTTTGTATCAGCTTTGCTGACTTCAGCCACCAAAGGAGTTGAAGCTCTGGATTAATTTAATTAGTTTAAATAAATAAAGCAGCTTGTAAAACCATTGAATCATCAAGTTCACTTTTATTACATCTTCCAAACACACACACACACACACACACACACACACACACACATAGACACACACACACATTGTATAACTGTACACCATAGCTATACAAACACACACATAATGCATGTAAAGGATGTGAACTTACTGGAGTGGCCAGGGCCTTTCCAGCCAGGCACAAAAGGAAGACAATCCACACCCTCATGTTGGGATTCAGCCTGCAAGTAAAACAAATGATTAAAAAACTCAGCTTATCTGATGTAATGTACATCATGATCACTGTGATACAGCAGCAATGATCTGACATCTGAATCATCTACATGCAAGCTATGGAGCTGAGAAGAGAGTGCTGGTGAAACACATATATTTTGTATATTGTCACTGTCACAAAAAACTACAGTTTTTATATCATTTAAAAATGCCAGCTGCCCTTTACAATGTCATTTCATGATAAATGTACTAACAGAAACTTTTGTTTGTTTAACCTCTTAAATGGGCAGTTTTATCACACAATTCTATCACCTGTCCCTGTAGTTGATGAATGATAAGCCTTAGTATGTAATAAGCCTGGGATTTTAAAGGGATAATATGGAAGATTCTAACTTGGTACAGGAGAAATATTTACTTCAAAATATGACTGATTTTCTTAAAGTATTGACTTAGTATCTCAAAAAAGCACTTATTTTATAATGGGCTACAAAATCTGAGGAAAATAATTATTAATTATTTTGGGATAATACGAGATACTAAACCATTATTTTGCAATTGTACTTCAATATTTTGGGATAAGTGATTATTTTGACATAATAAGTCATTGTTAAGAGATACTGTCATTATTTAGACATAGAAAGACATTATTACAAGATACTATGTCATTATTTTGACACAGTAAGTCATTATTATGAGATACTAAGTCATTATTTCGACATAGTAAGTCATTATTATGAGATACTAAGTCATTATTTTGACATAGTCAAAACTTTGAGGAAATGTTACTATTTCGAGATACTAAGTCAGTACAAGTACATTTTGAATCACAGCTGAAATCATATTTTTCTTCTTTTTTTAGCACCGGAAAAATTCTTTATCAGACATTGCTCATCTTATACTGTGATTAGATTTTGTGAATAGAACAAAGTGTATGTTCTGCATGTCATTCCACAGACATTAGACTTTTGACTTTTATACAAATTTAACAAACAATATTAATTAGTAATTAGGGGGTTAAAAAAGGACATGGCAGTTTTGTAAAGGGGGAGTGTTTTTTGTCATTTATTCCCTGAAATTGAGCCTTGAATATGAAACGTTCATAGGACAGCGAGAGGCTGGGGCTTGAAGGCCCCATCTGCTCTCATTCACAGATATGGCAGCAAACTTCAAGCCGCGCCTCATACCCCATTCCCGCTGAAGTCTGTCTGTGCTGTGAAATCAATATTACTTCCATTCACTTTTCAGATTTCACCCTTGTAGCAGCCTTTCGCGGAGGGGATAACAGCTAGCATTTTCCCATCAGACCTGCCCTGTATACTCTTTGACGGACGACTAGGTGCCCAGCAGTGAGCGTGCTCGACACATGCATCTACAGGGAGGCCAGACTCAGCGTCTGATTGAGATAACAGCTCCGAATGCCTTTGTACTGCGGGCCCTCCGAATGCCTGCCTGTGGTTCAGAGGGTCCCTCCAAGAGGGGCTGGAAACTGCACTATCCTGCAGGTCGATAAGGCCCTTTGACTGAAGACAAACGGCTCTGCCTTCTCTTTGCTCACTAGCCTTGTCTCCTCTCTTCTGCAGCAGACATTTTCCCTCTCGCTCGCCCCCCTCATAACACTGGTAGTCTTTGTTTATGGCTGGACGTTCAAAGAAGCCACAAGCCTGCTGTCATTCGGTGATGGTATCACATGATCGACTGTAGATGTCTAAAACGCAATGCAGATGAAAGCCAGCAGCACTTTGTTTTGCCTTTTAACTATGCACCGAGGCAAGCTGCAAGGCTTAAGCTCAGGGCTGCTATGAAAATACACTGAGACAGCCTGCCATTTATGCACATGAAAGACAAAGATTCGCCGTTGAATGAAATGACTACGATTGCACTGGTGTATAATAAGTATCTGTGTCAAAGCTGAACAAAGGAAGCATTCACTGGCCCTCAGACTTTGTTCAAAGGCCGTACAGTATGACCATGCTATAGCTTATATGCTGTGGAGGCTCTTATGTGACGAGCACCGCAATTATTTGCCACTCCTGAAGCTGTGATGGATGTGTTATCACATGATTGAATATGGAGAGGGATTATTGCGTTTTATCTCCACGTTCATAATTGGCCCAGCTGTAACGTTCTTGGGGGATTTATAGGCTCCTTGAAAGCACTGACCCATGAACAATTTGCCCAGCAACTAACTGAAAAACTCTCCTGGCTCTCTGCCACGTTTCATGATGGTGGAATTCTTGTGGCGCTAACAAAGAGCTCATAGCGCGCTCCACATTCTTCAGCAGAAATGAGTCAGAGATGCTTGTCGATGTAAATCCGGTGTTGTTTTGACTGCTATATCATAAATGTCATATATTTATAAACAATCACAAACTGTCTTGTCACATTTGTGTCTCACTCTTCAAAATAAAGGTTCCTAAATGTGTCCTGGCTTGGATGTGCAGTTCTAGGAAGGACTCCTCACACTCTTCAAGGAGCCTATGGTTCTTCAGAAACATTAACTGAAAGTTTCTTGAGGGAACCATATATGGTTCTACTACAGCAGGGGTGTGCCAACATTTTGTCTTGAGGGGCCAAAAGAGTTCTTCATACTCTTTAAAGAACCATTGAGATGTTTATTAACAAAACAAAACAAAAAAAACATTAACTGAAAGTTTCTTAAGGGAACCAAATATAGTTCTATTACAGCAAGGGTACCCAAACTTTTTGTCTTGGGGTGCCAGAAAGGTTCTTTATACTCTTTAAAGTACCATTGAGATGGTTCTTAAAAAAAAATAATAACAATTGAAAGTTTTGAGGGAACCACACATGGTTCTACTACAGCAGGGGTGCCCAAACGTTTTGTCTTGGGAGGCCAAAAAATGTTCCTCGCACTCTTTAAAGAACCATCTCGGTGGTTCTTTAAGGAAACATTAATTGAAAGGTTTTTTTTTTCATGAAGCAAAAAAATGTGGCTCTACTATAGTAGTGGTACCCAAGCTTTTTGTATTGGAGGCCCAAAGTGCAATGCTTGTGGTGGGCCAAGGGAGAAAAAGACAAACTCATTTTTTTAAATTGCTTTATGCACTATATTTTGCAAGAAATATACTTAAAAATGCAATTTTGAAACAAAAAAGGATTTAATTAACTATATATAGTATAAAAATATGTGCCTTCTCATTGGATAAGGGGTTAGGGTTATTGTGGAGGGCCAAATCAAACGTCTTCATGGGCCACACCTGTTCTACGGCATCTCTCTAAGGAACCTTTTTGGCACCTTTATTTTTAAAGGTGTAGTTTGAAGGTTTAGCTCACAAGCTAGAACTGAGAAACTGGAACGAGTATTCACATGCTGTTTCAATATTATGAAGCTCCAGGGAGTAGCCCATTATTAAGAAGGAGTGTCATAACGGTGGTGAGCTGATGAGCAGTCTGTGCACAGGCCAATCCTTTAGCTGCAGATGCTTGCTGCTGTGTCGATGTGGCACAATCTCACATTTCTCCATGTTGCTGGGGGAGATTTGCCAAACTGGGCTGGGATGTCTGTGCGCTGGGCCAGCCAGGCCTGGGACAAGCTCAGACCAGGCCTCTTCCCCTTTCTGTTTTCACTGGAAAGGGAAAAAAGGGCTTGTGCTCAGAAACCGATGTCAAGCAGACAGCCTGCAGCTCTGATGCACGTTAGAAGTGGAAAAACACAGAAGCCCTGGCTCGCCCTGCGAAACGTTGACATCTCCAAACGTGGCGCACAAGAAATCTTCACTGCTCAGGGAGGGGGAAGAAGGTGTTATTTCACCAGGAGCGGCGTCTGTTAAGGCAGACAGTTAGAACCTTGGCAAGAGAGTGAAGGAAATGACTTAGGATCGTCTCCGTCTGTTTAGCCTGGAGGGGTCAGTCCGTTCCCTTCGAGAGAGGTTTTAACATATTTGCATGCTATTTCTTTTCCCCCAAAAGAGGCAAAAGGCTGTTAGCTGGATGGACTTTGCTGACGTAACAGCAAAACAAGCTGTTTTATTTGGAAAGTAGTGCTCATAATCAAACAGGCTTGAAATTAGTTGACGGCAGCTGCATAAGGGCCGTCTTTTTCCGCTCAATATTTGATTTAGGGGTTAGTTAGGTAAGCAAGCAAGCTGTGGGGCGTCAACCCGGGAGAAAAACAGAAACACAGTGCTCTGCTTTTGCCTTTTTTTCAGGCAAAGGATTAGGGAATTCTTTCTGCTTCTCTGGAGTGACTTAACAGGTGGTGTAGAGGCTGGAAAAACAGTGGAGCTTAGAGACCGTAGCAACAAATAAGTGAGACCACTTTTTCCCCATTGCTTAAGCAGTTCAGCATGAAAAAACTTAATGGGTTATGTGCAAAACAACATGCTACGTCCAGATATATGCAGTAATAGGCTCAGAATTGGGAGGCTGGCTCTGGCTGTATAAATCAAAGCCACAAAAAAGATCCAAGCTAAAGTTTAGCCTCCTCAGTAAACACTGAGCACCATAATCAGTGCCCAGTTGCAGGCCCATGAGCTCAGGGGGTGGTATGCAGCTTTGATTTATGGTGCAGGAAGCCACTTGGCTTAAAAAAAGTAAACTCCTGCGCAAGCCACCTGTCCATTACTAGGCAATTATTCCCCTGCGTCTGGACAGCATTCAGCACTGAGCCGAAAAGCAGGTCCCATCCTGTCCAAAAAACAAACAAGAAACATACCAGCAGGGCAGCCACATGGAAATGAAATGATCCAAAAAACCTGACAAAAGTTGACAAGCTTTAAAAAAAGCATCTTTCAAACTGGCATGGAAAGAAAGACCACAAATGGCCTGCTGGGTGTTCTGTCCAAAAACACCACAGGTGTGTTGGTCATAGGCTGCCTTTGATGGTCTGCGGTTTGCAGGAAATTAACATTTCTCTCTCCACGTAACCTCAACCGCTTTTTTTCCTGCAGCTTCAGATGGGCCCCTCAGGTACTAAGCCTCCATTTCATTATAAAGAGAAAGGTGGGGAGAATAAAGTAGCCACAACGCGAAATCCCATCCTCTGCTGAAAAGGCTGCCATTGACATGCCTGAAGGAAGCTCTGAGGCAGACAAAAGAGAGTCAGAGCAGAGCGATGGAATCCTTGTAACCTGAGTTTTGCAGTCACCTGACCTTTCAAAGCACCTCCTGCCCATCCCCCCCCAACACTAACTCTCAGTGATTCACCCTGCTTCCATCCTGTTCCCAGAGCCAAGCCAAAAGAACAACAGCTGTCTGTGGAAATGGAGCTTTTCTATAGGGAAATCTCTCTCCCTCGCTCCTCTGTCTGCTTCCATCTTTTTCTTCTAAAGTCAAATCCACATTGAAAATACCAGCTGCCCTTTACCTTGTGTGAACATTTCATGACCAAAACTGATGTTTTTTAACAGATGTTAAGAAGTTTTTTTAATAAAATTACTGGATGCAACACATTTTTCTTACAACAGTGACAATTGTTGATGAGTGAAGGCTTATAGTGAATTTACTTCAACTGTGTATCATTTCCACATAAATAATATTATACACACATACAATTCAATGTAAAAGCAGATGTGGATAGTAACTGAGTTACAAATTTCAATGGATTTGTACTTTGCTGAGTATCTTAAAATTGTAATACCTTTAAGTAATTTAGGGCAGAAAAAAGGAGGACCTTCCTACTCAGGTACTTTTTAGTCATTAACACTTATTTATTAACAATGGTGGATAGTAATGAAGTACTTGAGTACTTTTTTGAGTCTGTAATTTATTGAAGTATTTACATTTTTTGAGACTTTTACTTTCACTCCACTACATTTCAAAATAAAATATTTCACTTTTTACTCCACTATTTTCTGAACAAATCCATTCTTGCTCTAAAGTGAGTAAAAATAGATTTTTTTTTAAATACCAACTGCCCCCAATGATACATTTAAACTGAAGCAAACCAATCATAGAACACCTTGCACTAAAAACCTTGCACTAAACCCCTCCCCTAAGCACTTCTGGAATATTGAAAATGTAAGTAATTTCTGATTAATTCCGTGTCTTTAGAAATCTTTGCCTATTTTTTAAACTCTATTTTTCATGTCCACTGCCACACAGGTCTTAATAGAAATAGAACAACATAAAGTAACTTTAAGAGCTAGTATAGCTTCTACTTTTGCTTTTCATACTTAAGTACATTTTAAAGCAAGTACTTTTTTACTTGAGATACAAATAGAGGACTAATTTTACTTGAGTTACATTTTACCAAGGGTATCTCTACCCTGACTCAAGTACTGAAGCTGTGAACTTTGTCCACCACTGGTTACTAATTTCTTAATTGTGACACGTCTGCGTTTTATTTATTTAATTAATTAATTAATTTATTTATGGGTGACAGCATCAGTGATTGGTCATGCCTTCTTACATCTGCAGTTTATTATCTCATTTTAAAACAAAAAGGGTCCCAAAAGAGAAGAATAACACCTAATAAACTTCAGTTCTTCTGCTGATAGATGGATGTATTGAGAAGATCTACTTCAGTTCTGCAGATGATTTTTGACCTGATAATTGAAAGCCATGGGTTTAGGCTACTCAAGCCACCTCTCAAACTGAAAGACAAAATTATGTTGATGTTTTATATTTTATTACTGTTGAAATTAATCAACTAAATTTAATCCATTACTTTTTGAGTGTGCTATTAGTTAGTGTGTCTCTATAAGGGTTAATGAGGAATTTGACTTCTTGTCAAGGGTTGAATTGATGATGATAAGGGTCAAGAATGGGGCTAAAACCAGATTGGTGCTAATCCACATTCTTGTTTGGTATTTGTACCTCCCCCAAACTGAAGTTTTTCAAATTAGTACCTATGTTTACTATAAATGCTCTCTATATAGCTTGTGAATTCTCCAGGCCTAAAGGTTCGTGTTCTCTGGTTCCATGCCAACTGATCTGCTGGTCATTCTCTCTTTGGGACAGCAGCGAACTAACGCCTCTTTTCTCTCTCACCCGGCCTTCCACTGCAACCCTGAGAGTCTTTTTTTCCTGGCTAAAGCTGCTTACTTCTGTTTGCCGGTATTTAACCCACTGTGGCTCGAGAGCAAATGTACCATTTTGATTCACATGTCAGTGTCACCCAAACAGAGCGCTGACAGCATCTGGGCAACAGCCCTGTGCTAACTGCCCAAAAGCTGACTTGCTGCATTCTTGGATTGTTTTTCAGCCCTACACAACTGTCAAAACACGTAAGAGCTTTTAAATAAAGGCCTTCTCTCTGTTAAGAATGGAAAAAAAACAATCAAACCATCAGCTGCAAAGTGCAACAGTTTCAGCCTGTTTTAGTGTGCCTTCACCTTGCAGTCATCAGAAAAAAAAAGGGTGAAATATTGAATCTCTCTCTTTGATTTGCAAAATAACACCACAGCGGGTAGCACATTATCTAAAACTAACATATGTTATTTTTTCAAATAAGTAAAGAAACAAATAAAATGTCCCTGTATTATGGAATGTGGCTGCGTTTTTTTCTTTGGCAGCAGCAGACAGTCTTTATCTAACAGCATCCCAGCATCCCATCCGGCAGCTGTGGACGTCAGTGCGTTCTCACGAAGTTCTTGTTTGTCAAGAGAATAGACATCTGTACAATCTTAATGCAGGCCCCAACAGCTGGTGAGAACTGCCATGGCAACTCGCATTCCTTTTGACGAGAGTAAGTGTGTGTGTGTGTGGGGGGGGGTTGGGGTTTGGGGAGACTGAATGAAAACCGACTCTCCTTCTCTTCTCTTCTCTCTCTCTCTGTCTTTCTCTCAGGCTTTGTAGCTCAATCCCCCCCTTCCCCCACCTCCTCCCTTCTCTGTGTCCCCCCCTTCTGTTGCCTATGTGGCACAATGCTTTAACACTGTGCTACACTTAAACTGAGCGTCATCACTAAATTGAGATGTGCTCTGCGTGAAAAAACAGAAAAAGAACCCTCAGCAACTACCTTTCTAACTTTATTATAGACTTCTTGAACAATGCATTTAATAACTAAGAGATATAAAATATTTAGATAGACAACTAAATTAAGTACAATATACAATGAACACATTCACTTGTGGCTTAAAGAAATATAAACATATATGAAATAATGAGGTAGTAATAAGATAAAAGACAAGAAGAAAATGCAAAAAGAAAACTTTCTGTTCAGTAATATGGTTTAGGATGTGTCACTAAATATCTAAAGCAAGCAACAAATCAGTGAAATGACATTTGTCTTCCTTTTACATTTTGAAACAAGGCTCTGGAAGTGGATCTGAGCTGAAGGTGAAGATGTAGTCCTGGAGTAGTAATAGATGATAGGGTGCAGTGCTCTTACCTTCTGTTCGGCAAGCCGAGAAGCCAAAGAGAAGTCAGCTGGTGCGGGGGTCTGGAACTATCTAACAGCAACACAAGTTCACGCAGAAGACATTTGCAGTGGGCAGGCCCAGTTAACCCCCCCCTCACTGCACTGGAGTGGGACGTCCCACAGTTAACTCTCTGTATCCAGTCAAAGATCTTTGTTTCTTGCCATGCAAGTCAGGTCTGCTGTGCTTGTTTAAACAGACGGTGAACTTACTTTTTGAAGTTTTATACTGTGCTCACAATTAATGACAGGCAGAATGAATTCAAATGGGAATGCTTTGGGTGCAGTTTTCAGCTATTTAGAGAAACTGCTTAGGAAGTTATATCATGGAGGACTTGCTAAAATGTGTTTCAGTTAAAAGAAATAAAGTGTTTTAGTTCAATGTTTTTGGATTTGGAGTTCATAAAATGGTTAAAGATACAGAGAAAATGGGATTTTTAATAACCATACAAGTCCTGGCAGACCACCAAAACTGTCACCATCAGATAAACACTACTACTTCATCTGTAAAGAGCTCAACTCTTCCTTTAGATCGGGAAAAATCCACAAGTTTTTCTGTCCATCCTTCCACTGTGAGAAGACAACTTAACACTATGGGCCTGAAAGGATGTGCAGCTGTGAAGAGGACATTGCTACTGTCAAAGAAGTTGCTGGTGTTGTCAGAACAACAGACTGACCAGCTCAGACTCCAGACCCCAACATCAATGAATGTTTGAGATTACTTGGAGCATGAGAAGTAAAAAGTGCAACCAACTTCTAAGAGTTGAAGTTCTAAGTCAGGTCCTTGACTTTTGCACAATACTGCATATAGTTTGATTATAATGTTATATGGTGGTAAATGTGATTTAATTGCTATTTGTTAAATCACAAGTGTTGTGTGCTTTTTATACCTTTTTTACTATATGTTCACTTATATTTGCCATGTTTGTCTGTAGCATATGCTAATGCTACTGAAATAATGTAATGGTGTATTTCACATTAAACTTCACTTAGTGCTGGGATCCTAATGGCCTATGCAGAGTCTGCTGTCCCCTTAATTTGTTTCTGAAGACACACGATGCTTTACTGCCACACAATAAGTTTGGTAATCAATACAGCTGTGTGTACAAAAGTGAAACAATAGACTGTGTGATGTACGGACAGAACCATGCATGACAGGACAATAGAGCAATAGGTGCAGACAACAGGACAACTGTGTTCTTATTTTAAAGATCAGCTTTAATGCTTAGTTGAATAATTGTCTTATGACTTCCACAAAAAGGACAAAATAATAACAAAGTTTTGTCAGAGTCAAATGAATATCCTGAACTGACCACACTGCCTGTAAAGGATATAAAAATAAACTCTCTACCTCATGTGACTCATCTTCAAGTAACCTCAGGCATGGTTCTCACAAATACATTTACAAAAATCTCATTTCTAGATATATTTTAATGCGCAAGACCTTTAAGAAGTGAATGTTACTTAAAAAAGTTAAATTCTTTAAAAGCCCAGTCATACAGTCACATTCCTCCATTCTTACTATTCTATCTATGTGTTTGTGTAAACTGTGGGTTGCTGAAAGTACATCAGGCTAAAGTAATCACTGCAGCTGTTCTATTCAGCTTCAGGCCTCTTTTTCTTAGAGAGACTGGTCTGCTATGGATTGCTAATGTCTGTACTCTCCCAGTCTGTGGACGAGTAAGGAGAGAAACATCTGGATGAGAAAAGGCTGGAAAAAACAGCAGCTATGCAACGTGGCATTTTCCATTCTGGCTGCAGCAGACTGAGCCGGAATGGGAGCAGGCCGTGGTGGAGGAGGTGTAATTACTCAGCCTCTCTCAAGCTGCAGACGTGGCGCTGTCTACGCAGCCTAACAAGTCTTCACATGGTCATCAGCTCACTGGAACACCCTATCTAATTACAATTAGGTCTAATTGTACTGGCTACCATCTGCAGATCACAAGCAGAAGCACCAGAGCTGTGTTTGGTAACTTTATAGAACATCTCTGCAGATTCTAGTTTGGGAGCTGCATGCAGTCAGTCAGTTATGACATGTTTAATGCCTGAAGTTTGCTTGTTTTGATTTTCCACCTGAGCTACAAGGCTAATTTAGCTTACAAGTAATGGAAGCTTATACCCAAGAGTTAGCAAAACACATGATAAAATAATCACACACTTGCCTAGAAGGCCTGCAGTTTGCATGATGCTAGCTGGCAGGCAGGGGCCTGTGACTCACAGAGGCCCTAAAAAATTAAATTTAATAGAATATTTGGGTCATTTTTCAATATTAAATTATTAACCTATCATTAATTAACAATACTTGCTAGCAGTGAATTGCAAGTGAGGAGTGCCAGTGTAGCATTATGTCTCAGCGTCCTAAAGAAAAATCTGGTTTCCAAAAATGAACAGAAAGAAAAGAAAGACAGGAGAGAGAAAAGAACAGGTGACAGAATGTCACCCAATTTTTCACAAGGAAAGGTGGGTGTAGTCCATGAGTGGTGGAAATGAACCTGTTAGCTTAATCCATGGTGAAACAGGCTACTCCTAATATCGTTTACTTCATATCTTCACAAAAATTCAGAATGTTTACATTTCTCTCTTCTTTTAGCCTGCATTTAATCAATGCAGCCAAACTTATAGTGAGTTAATCATACTAAATCAGTTATCACTGCCCCTCCCTGGTGCCAGGCCCAACAGATGCAGCTTCAGGCCCTATAGCCCTACAAGTGAATAAGCCCTACTCCCAACTGAAGAAGAACGTGAGCAGCATTGTGTTGAGTGGCATGTCAGTTGGCATAATAGCAGGGGGACCATGGGAATTTCTTTTTTGTTATTATGAAGAAAATAAAAATGAATAAATCATTTTCAAAGCTGTTTACATGCTGTAATTATTTTTCAGCATGTGATTTGTGATTTTAGATGGCCTTTAGCACATTTCTTATTGAGGGTGTGAGTTTTGCATCAAACAGTATATTCCACTGTATGCAGAATGTGCACAGTGTTATATTTTCTTTTCATGGGTCCCGAATTCCCTGGTGGTGCTCCTGCTGGTGGGATATAAGCTTCCGTTACTTAACCTTATAGTTCAAGTACAAAACTAAAGAGGCAAATTTGGGAAGAAGCAAACCTTTTTGAAATGGATTCTATATAGCAACAAAAATGGTTCTACTACTGCTACAAGCTTGACATTGTAACAATAGAAGAACCCTTTTTGGTGTTATATAGAACCCTTTTCAAAAAGATTCTACTTAGAACCTTATACAGTATATTCTCCATCAATCTGAAGAATCATTTCATGATGCAAAGAACCCTTTAAGCATGTAAATGGTTCTTTGAGTGTTCATTGTTGTATAGAACCATTGTCTTAACTAAAGAACCCTTGAAGAAACATCTTTTTTTAAGAGTGTAGGCAGTTGTTTTTGTTAGGGAAAACTGCATGTAGTTGTTTTACACTGTTTCTAAAGCATATGCATGAACTCAAGTGGTGTTTAAGGCACCCCAAGTCCAGCCTACAGCCCACTCAGCCAATGGAGTGTTGCAGTGGAGCAGGGTCTGCCCACACAGTCTCCATGGTGACGTATTCTGCAGCAGTTTTCCATGTGTTTAAAAAGTACGTCAAAAGCAGTTAAGAAACTCCACAATTGATAATAAAAGTGGTAATTCGCTTTCTAGTTTTCTTAAACGTCAGTCGTATCATTTGACCATTTTTTTTTGACGATTCATGGATTTGTTGAAAACTTCAGTAAGAGAGCTTATTTTAAAACAATAAATAAGCACATTTAAAAATTTGAAAATTCAAATGAACATTTACATATGAATGCAAAAATGGCTGCTTTTAGGTACTTTTTGCGTTTGCCATCATTTGTGGAAAGTCCTCAATTTATTATGAAGTGAATTTCATATTTTAACACCATGTACTGTACAAAACAGTTTAACCAAAGGACGTTTTACAGTTTGCAGTTGCACTACAGTTATTTGAGCTGATCACAATCAAGCCAACCAAAGAGGTTCTCTTGGCTAACTGAGATCATTCAGGGTAAGGGAACTGTAAATTTCATTTTTGGCCACACCAAAGTGTCAATACAAAAACTGTACTTCATAACCTCACATTATTTCAATAACAAAAGTAGTTTTATGTTGGCTTTGGAATGCAGCTTCTACGTACTGCATCATAAATGTGGGAACATGATTTATTTTGGACTGTACACTTTCTCTGGCCGCTTTATGGGAAATACCTCCCTTTGGGGCCATGCTTGAAAATAAAATCTGAATCACGCAGCAGACGGTATGATTTTGACCATCATTTCCTCAATAAAACTCCACAGACCCTTAAAAGGATCACAGCCACGGAGGGGGACACAAGGCCTCTATTCATTCTGCTTCCTGTTTTGCCTCTGTGTAAACACTGGGCACATTGAACCCTGCAATAGCAAATAATATTAAACATGGGACTGGAATAAATTACAGCACCTGAGTTTACAGTGGAGATAAACCAGCCGCACCACACCTCCACTCAGTAAACAACAATACAGCTTCACCTCCGACCTCTGTGAGGTGCTAACAAACGCAGCGTAAAGGTGTAAACTTTGTGTTAATGGAGAGCATTTTCTATTTAAAATCACAATAAACTAACACAGTAGCAGCATGTGTGATGTCATAAGCTGCCTGAGGAAGAGCACTGGTTTTCTTTCATTACATCACCTCAAAGGCAGCCCACAAAAAGCAACACAAGGCTCTGCATTGTCTCAGATTATTGGTTTGAGTCTGTAATTTTGAAATGGACAGCTCAACACTGGTAATTCGAACAGCCGCTAACCCTTAGCAGTCTGAGAACTTAACCCTTAGAACAGCTATAATTGCTGCTTTGGTATAGTACATACACCGATCAGCCTTAACATTAAAACCAGTTTCTTGTTTCTATGCTCATTGTCCATTTTATCAGCTCCACTTACCATATAGGTGCACTTTGTAGTTCTACAATTACAGACTGTAGTCCATCTGTTTCTCTGCATACTTATCCTTTATCCCCCGTTATATCCTTTTTTACCTGTTCTTCAGTGTCAGGACCCCCATAGGACCACCACAGAGCAGGTATTATTTGGGTGGTGGATCA